ACCACAATCCCTTTGAAAAATGTGTTGACTATAATTAATTATCAGGTCTGGAAGTAAGTAAACTAACTATTTAAGATGAGCTCTACAGATTATGTTAGAAGCTGTGCTTAGATATCCATCCAGATTTACATCAGCAACATTCCCAGGGTTATAATTAATTTCTCTGGAACTTTCAAAATAATCTTTGTCCATATTTTAGTCAGGTGTATGTAAAATTCGAAGCAGAATTTTTATAGACCAAAGAGCTGATTATTCACCCTGGAAGGAGGTTTGAGGCATCAATGATAATCCAGTGTGAACATCTACTGAGAACAGTACCTGAAAAGCTTTAAAGGTCACTAGCCTCATTTCCCCTATGCTTTAGAAACCGTGCTGAGATCGGTCCGAGCCCAGTAACCGAGATAACTCCTTAGTAAAAATGGCACACACAACTGAACCGGGCCGCGTCAGACACAACCCAACTGAGCTAAACTGGTACTAGTTCATCAGTAGGGCTTGGTGCGGATCAGTTCTGGCTCAGTTGTCAGATAACAAAGATCACATGAGCAGACCGCATCATCTCCTTACAGTCAATCATGAAATTTCAGACATTCATATAAATCGTAGCTTCCCTGCCGTGCCACAAGATTTCCAGTTAAGATTCTGCTTAGCAGTGTGATGGACCTCAAGGACTGTCATTGTTTCCTGAGTCTGGAAGCCCTGATTAGACGATCGTTTGTCGTATTCACTTCCCAAAAGCCGACTCTGACAAGTAAATTCACCAAAGGCTGCCTTCTTAGCCTGACTCTCCGAAAAACAACGCAATATCACAATGATAACAAAACCGAACTTCCTGAATGGTACGGGCGCTGCCTTGTTGTTTTGCTTGTTTACTTCTAGAGAGCAGTGGTACCGTAGATCATCACTAGGAGGTGAGGAACTGTGCTAGCGTGGTGTGTAAACGGTCGTAAGGAACCAAGCTTGACACGGTTAACTGATCCAAAGCTTCACATGTTCTATCCAGAGCTTCTTTCAAGCCTATTTCTTGTTTGACGATTGGTTAGTGTCAGTGTCAATAACTGACCAAGGTAAGCATTATATAACGATTTCCTTGGTCAGTTACTGAGACTGACCAATGAAAGCGTTATATGCTTTGAAGCATTTAGTCAATAATTTGGGGTCATGACTTCCCCCTGGGGTCCAGGATCAACAACTATGGAGTCTTGAGAACCTTTGTAGAAATCAACCTTTTTAACCCTAACCCTAACCCTTTTTAATAAACGCATTAAAGAAGTTAAAAGATATAAAAGTATAACTTTAAAATAATAAAAAAAGGTTGAATTTGTCTTTCAATGGTAGAAGTTAGTTTCTTGGCTTTGGCTATTCACTAGCCCAGCTTAAAACATTAGAAAACACACAGGAGAAAAACATCCTCCGCTCAAATATTTTTTTTAAATAACTTTGTTAAGTGATTTTTGGGTTAACAATTGGGTTGGCACTAGGGTTGAACCAATTAATCGAATTAATCATGATTAAGCAATTATTAAAATAATCATCAATTAATTTAGTAATCGATTAATCATTAACTGGAGTATAGAGAATCTAAAACGTGCCTTTAGCTGACAGAGAAACCCACCTTGAGCAGCAATTATACAAAATTGTGAGAAAAAAAAAATTCAAAAACATATTGCATTTAAGATAAAAAAAAAAAAGGTTGTCTGTCAATGTGCTTTCCTCAAGTGGAAAGGTTTAGGTTTCACCTGGTTTAATATTGTAAAAAGTCTTGTTTAAGGAACCTTTAGCTATCTGATTATTAATCACTTAATCAACAGCTTGATTTGCAAAATAATTGTTAGCTATATATCTTATAGAGTATATAGTATTAACAGACACAATTCATGTCCTTTTTTTTATTCATAGCTGTTTGTTTATCCATGTAACAAACATTTAAAGTTGTAGAGAAGCGGCTGGTCCAACCGTTGCATTTTCGAATTCTCCCGAGTGGTGCACAACTTTACACGAGTGAATAAAGTGAATGTGATTGGTCGTTTAGCAAGGGGGCGGGATTGCTGTGGTAGAAGGTTCGCAATTAAGTTTGATTGTGGCCGGTTTGTCGGAAGCATCTTGCTAACCAGTTAACAACTTAGTGCTAGTAGGTTCCCAATGGGAAATTCCATTGGGACCCAGTAGCACTAAATTGGTGACTTAGAAACGACACTGTCAAGGAACGCTATGGACAGAGGAAACATGCAAGAGGAGGAGAGTTTAGTGTCGGAGGTCGTGGATGAGTCTCCTCCGTCATACAATTTCTATTTAGAGGAGGAAAGCGGGCATGAAGACGTTGTGGAAGAGGACGCCAGGGCGGCAGAAGCTTGGTTTGGTGTAGAAGGCTTCCAGCCGTACATGTTTGAGCCCTTGCCTCGCAACGCTGCCAGTTCTGTTAGCTCTACGCCTGCTGAAGACACAGACGTCCATCCCAGTGAACACTGGGACGGAACTCAATGGGAAAGGAAATTATTCTGATTTATTTTTCAACCATTGCGTATATTAGCTGCGACATATGAATTAAGATGCTTTCACCTAAAACATTTGATTGACAGATGACCTTTGATATATGATTGGCCGAATTTAGGTGTTCAAGCTGACAACAGATGTTAAGACAGGATTTTTTTTTCTTTTAAAAAGAATTTTTCTAAATTTTGAGACAATATCACCTGTGTAGACATTTAACATTTAAATATGACTTTGCAACGACTTTAAATACATGATCAATGGATCAAAGAAAGCCTTAAGCCATCCTTACATTCTCCTGGATTTAAACAATGCAACATCACTGCTGAACATTTCTGGGCAATGTCTGATGCAACATTAAATAATCTGTACGTAGCTAATTACAGAAAAACAAAGGAAGGCAAACAGACTTCCTCTACACAATTTTTACATTCAATCTCTTTGTCTTCTTCTTGCTGAATCACAATAACAGCCCCCTCCTCCACGACCAGAGAATAGCAGGAGTAAAATAACAGCCCTGAGTATCCAACACCCCCCCAAGCACTAGCCCCCCTGCTTCATCATCCTTCTAACAGCTCAGACGGTGTCAAATGAACTGGCTCAAAGGCCATCGATCCACTGCCAACACAAACAGCAGTGACAGTATTACTGCTGTGGGGGGGGGCTCAGTGGGAGGGAGAGGTATGCTAGCTATGGATGGTTGATTCTGAGAAATGACTGCTTGGCTGGCTGAGAGAAGTATGACGTAAAACCTGTAAAAGAGGGTATTCTGGAAACAAACTAGGGGAATTACAGAGAGGATTTTAGCCAAAAGGGGGAAAAAATAAAGGGTGTAAAGATTCCTAATATAAAGGGCCAGCAAACTGTTTCCATGCCAACATATATTCCTCCTTTCATAATTCCAGTGGGGAATGAGGGGCATATGTATCACAAACATCTCCATATTTTGTGTTATTATTATTTTTTATTTTGATATAGTTTGTCTTTACCTAGATTACTAAACAAAGTCACCTCTCAACCAAAGCTTTGCACCAAATGTCACGCTAGCACATTTTTTAAAGTTGCAGATAAACTTGATAAACTGGGAAATGTAAAACAGTAACTATAAGTCAAGGATGGCTGCAAATGTTGATTATTTTGCTTATCGATTAACCTGTTGACTTTTTTTCCATTAATAATCGGATAGCAAAATGTTCCTTACAGAAGTTTTTTTACAGAATTAAACCAGGTGAACATTTTTACACGTCAGGACTTCTGGATAGAGCATACTGACAGTCTTTTTTTGAAAGTGTTTTATATTAAATGCAAAACATTAATATAATATTTTAAAATTTTTGTTTAGCTACTGCTGAGATAGTTTGCCCTGTCAGCTAAATGCATGTTTTAGAGTCTCTATACTCGAGTTAACGATTAATCGATTTCTAAATTAGTTATTACAATTATTTCAATAATCAATTACTCAAGATTAATATGACTAATTTTTTTCAGCCCTAACGTCAACGTAACACTTGTGATATTCTATGTCTTTTATCTAGGTTTCATGTAATGGATTGACTCAATGATGTGCCTCTGATCACCTGTTCAACCAGCAAATGTTAGCAGCTATTTCTAGTTAGAAAAAGCAGATTTTAGGAGGGGTTCAGGTTTAGACAAGGAATGGTCCATTCTAACACATCAATATGCCTTTATTTAAACCACTCTAATGTATCATTGCTTTCAAGTTTGAGGTTCCCACAGTAAGGTGCATCTTAACACTAGTTTGGAGTCTTCTACAGTCTCTAGGTTTCCGCACTCATCTGACCAGATCAGGTTGGGTGTCTTCTCTATGCGGCTTATGGAAAACTCCATTTCCTTTGGTTGTCTGAAGTACCTGACCAGTAGTTGTCTGTTTAGGAGGTCTCAAGCTAGAGCATTGGTGCCTCAGATGTACGCACTAATTCTGTCCTTTCCCACCTTGTCTATATCTCTGTTTTGAACTGATGATGAAAGCTGTGGGTTTTTTTTTAATCATCCATAAACGTATTTTATTTTCTTAGAAACGTAACCCCTAGATTGTCTGTTGTGTTTCTTTTTTTTCCATCTGAGCTGTGGATGTTTAAATCTCCAAAAGGTATGATAGTCTTTTTGGCTGCTTCTTATATTTACACCCTCTTTGCCTGGTTTGTTAGCTTAGCACAACCATGACATTCTAGGTTGATTTGGTGTCATACTTTTTCCACTTTCAGCTTGAGATAGTGCTTTTAGAATCCTGCCTCTACAGTCATTCTCTCGGACCTGTCCACTGTGTTCCTTTGCTTTTATACTAAGGCATTTTGTTCAATAACATTCTCTAAGAAACCTTGGAGTCATTAGACAAACGCGGCTGATTTTGCAGAAAATTTTTCCTCTACGTCTTTGTTGTTAATGAAACAAACAAATGGCAAAATGTTTTTTTTTGTAAAATTTGGGAAGTTTTCACCAAAAGTGAGGTCCACAATTATTGGCTGATTAATCAAGTCCCCCAGTCTCACCTTTGTGTTCAGGCCCATTCATTGTTGAGGACAGCGTAGATCCCTTTACAAACGCAGCTTCTGCAGCCCCCATTGAAGTGGTTGGTGAGACGGTTGATAAAGTGCTAGAAGGGGGTCCACAGACATTATCTGTCCGTTTTGTTCCTGGTTTAAGCAGCAGCAGTCCCAGAGCCTGGCAATCTGTGTGATTTCTGCAACTCGCAGCACGGGATTCCACGAGAGAAAATGTCCCCTTGGTGCATTGTTTACAGAGAACGTCCTCTGTTTCCGTGCCCCGCTTTTTCACCCTGGTCCCTGGAGGGCACAGTGAGTGGGGTCTACACTCTCCACCACCGTCCCTTGATAGGAAGCTGTTGGGTGGACAGGTGCAGACCCGGTCCTGGGTGGCTGTGCAAGGCACCTTCTCAATGAAGCCTGTAGGACAGGGAGCCCGACAGTGGTGGCATTGCTGGACACCGTTCTCACCTCGTGTGAAGGTACCCTCAGGGCAGGGGCTGCACTCCCTTACCATTTTTGGTGAGCAATGGACAGAAACATAGGTGCCTGCCGGGCACTTATCACAGACCACCTCAGTGCCTGAGTCCTGGTCTGTGTGCTGATTGTGGCGTGGAGGGAGGAGAGGCTGATCATCTGTGGTAGATGTGGTCAAAGCTCGGGCTGAGATGTCAGCCACCATCGTACATAAGAGCTGAGAGGAGAAGAGGAAACAGCGAGTCAGTTGGTTCTGAATATTAATTGTTTCCTCTTTCTTTGGCAAGACCTTTTTACGTCTATTTCTATGTAAGCATGTTGGTTAAAGACATTTGTACAATTCTAATGCTATAAGCGCCTGTCACACCTTGATGATTTAGCCAACATATGTCTGACGTACGAAAAATCTGGCAAAAACACTGGCATCTGTTGGATATGATATGTGTACGTTTTGTATAAGTTATGAGCAAGCTGAAGTACACTGGCACACCGCGACATATAGTAAGTAGGTTGGGAAATTTACATATGCCAGCGCATGCTCATATGTTGGACATAAGTTACTGGTAAATTATCTGATCGTTGACATACGTTAAGTGTAAGTTACTCAAAAGTTGTGGCATCAAGCTTATCTATCTAACCAAAACCTATGAGTAACTTGTGCATAACTGATGCGTAACTTATCAAGAACTTATCTCCAACACATATCATCGTATTTGACGTTTTCCAGACGACCGCTGAACATGTTTCTAACTTTCAGCTACTGTTTAATGGCCTATTGGCAGCGTTTTGTTTTATTAAAGGGGGTTCACAGGAGAAAACCATTGGTTCTCCTCCAGACTTCATCCCCATCACTGGGTGAGTGAGAAGGTGAGTTTGATGGACCTCTCTGTGTTCATGCCTACTGCCTTTTTATGCAGGCCGAGTGCCTCAGGGCACATCACTGCCCCCCTCAGGACAGTGGCTTGTGACAATTGATGGGCACTACACATCCGTGTGTTATGCATATGTTAGGCTGTCATTGGACATAAGTTCTGGACTTGTTGTGAATACGCAATGTGTACCCCCAAAATTGAAAATATAAATAGAAAGTTCAAAGATTCTGGGACGTCATGCATACACTGGCTAAATCGTCAAGGTGTAACAAGGCTTTACTTTACAAATCCAACACAGAGACAAAGTGGGTATGCTGTAGTTTAATTTTAATACTTGAAATACTACAGAAATACTTTTAATGACACTCATCCACTCATTGCATGTTAAGCAACACAGGGTTTTCTATTACAGCTGCTGAGGATTTATCTCCATTGTATGCAGCTGTTGTTGCTATTCCTGCCCCGACTGCCCTCTCACCTCTGCTCTGGAGGCTGTCGGCTGCATTGATATAGAGGAATGACACACACTTCCATTTAAAATCAGACATAAACTCTCATGCCTGTCAATTTAGGGAAAGCAAAACAATCCTACTGCATTTGGAGTGCTAAAAAATTATGTTTTAACTCTTAAACTAAAAGAAAGAAGAAGCTCTCCCACATGTTAACGGCTTTTGGTTAATTACCAGCAGATTCTGCAAAAGCTTCTTCCCCTCCGCCATCAGACTGCTGAATGTTGAAAAAACTCTAAATCATGTCACAGACTCTGCATCACACTGCCAACACCAAACTAAAACACTGCATAATTGCACCATATATATTCATATTCTGAACTTCAATGCGTTTATTTGCACCATGTTTATTCTCCCAAAATGTTTACATTTGATCACTGCCGCACTTTATGGAATGGAAATGTCTATTTACTGTCTGAAAAGCTGTACTAAACGAAATTAAATAAAAGTTGTCTAAGTCTAAGAAGAGATCTCCCCTTTATGTCACATTTACTTCTCCCAGATATTAAAGGGCACCAAGCAAGGCAACAACTGTTTTCTCCAATCTCCCTCTTGAGAAATAAGTGTCCCAGTGAGTATAGTACAACTTCTATAGCTCTCTCACATCTCTCTCTTTTCCTGAATTGAGCAAAGAAAAAGAAAAAAAAATATTGTGCAGATTGTGCAAATATGTCTCGATTTGATATCCTTACATGGAAGTACTATCGCAGTTATGACTGTTTAGGCTGATAAACACATCTGACCGATGGATGGAGGTCTGAGTGGCTGCGGCAGGTTTAAATCCTGACCTGTTCACCTTTATTGCATGTTTTCCCCCCCGTCTCTCGCTCATGGCAGTTTCTTGTCAGTTTATAGTCAAATAAAGGATGTTAAACCCAAGTCCTCAATAGCAAATATCCTGTGATTTCATCTAGCTCCCTGCTCAAACACACCTGAATCAAATGGCTTAATCACTTTTTCAGTTGAAGTCATGTTTTCTAGGATCCTGCAAAGGACCTAGTTATCTGATTCAGGTTTTGTAAAGTAGAGATGGATCCAAAAAGGGCAGGACATTCTGACATCCCTGACATAGACCCAAGTTGGTTTGCCTAGCTTTTATTCCATTATTAAATAAAAACAGATTTTAAAGTTTTTATTCTTTGCTCTTTGTTTGACTTGAGGCTGTGGCAGATAGTTTCCCTAACCTGTCCATGTTATTTGGTCACTAGTCTTGACAGCAAAGATGTCTTTACTCAGATCAGATGAAGTATGATTTACAAACAAGGGTGTTGGGTTTCAGTTACAAATGGTATTAATTACTAAACAAAAGGCATCAGCCCTAACATTAGGTTTAATTTACAGTAGCAGTCATTCAAAATGGCCCTTCCCAGTCAAACACCAGCCAAATGGCAGCCCACTTCCCTCCAACTCCCAGCGGAATCCCCTCCAACTTATTTTATTTATTATTTATTAACTCTGACTTCAACCTTTCACTGAATTACAGGGTCTGACCAGGAGATGCTGCTTCTCTTTAGATCTTAATTTCAAATCAAGACAGAAAGAATATTTAAGTACAAATATTGATGTTTGAAAAGGAATTTTAGGGGGCCAGCCAAGGACCAGCCAAGGGCCAGCTAGAGACTAGCTAAGGACTATCTAAGGACCAGCCAGAGACTAGCTATGGACTATCTAAGGACCAGCCAAGGACCAGCCAGAGACTAGCTAAGGACTATCTAAGGACCAGCCAAGGACCAGCCAGAGACTAGCTATGGACTATCTAAGGACCAGCCAGAGACTAGCTAAGGACTATCTAAGGACCAGCCAAGGACCAGCCAGAGACTAGCTATGGACTATCTAAGGACCAGCCAAGGGCCATCCAATGACCAGCCAAGGACCATCCAAGGACCAGCCAGAGACTAGCTAAGGACTATCTAAGGACCAGCCAAGGACCAGCCAGAGACTAGCTAAGGACTATCTAAGGACCAGCCAAGGACCAGCCAGAGACTAGCTATGGACTATCAAAGGGCCAGCCAAGGACCAGCCAAGGACCAGCCAAGGAACATTCAAGGAACAGCCAAGGACCATCCAAGGAACAGCCAAGGACCAGCTAAGGATCAGCCAGGGACCAGACAAGGGCCCTTCAAGGAAAAAGAGGAACATTTGAATGGCTACTACTGTAATAACAAACTTGTATTTTATTTGAAAGTAGACAGTTTCTATTTTAATTATAATTGGAAATAATATAATAATGAATTCCCTGTACTCAATCATTTTAGTAATTAGTGAGATAAACACTAATGATAAGAGCTTACAGGGTTGTCTATTCAACAAACACTCAGCTGACCTTCTACCACAATACCATTCAGTCCCTTGTGTTCCTTCCAAGAACCTCATCCATAAACATCAGAGCGTGCTGTCAGCATGCAGCTCCCGACTCTTGTTACGTCAGTAATATCAATGCGCTCATTCACATCAATGTTCAAAGTGTGGAATTCTGATAGGAAGCAGATATAGTGGAAAAATTAGAACATTCTGCTTTTTTCCAGGATACAATAGACTATCTGTCCAACTCAGTCAGCTGGTTTTGGATTAAATATGAACAGCTTGACCCTTATTGTTGCGTAAAAGTCGATGTACATGAAGAAATAACAGATAATGAAAGATGGACTATAGGCCCTCCTTTTGTGTCCAACAAAATAAATAAAAACTACAAACAGTCAAATTAGATATTATTTGATAATTAAAAAGATTAAATAATAAATATAAATGTAACAACTGATCTAGCTGAGATGTTGCATAATAGTAGACTTTAATTGTAATAATATTAACTGAACATCATTTATCTCACAATGGAGAAATTTACTTGTGCATCTTAACCCATCCCCTTGGGGAGCAGTGGGCTCCCACTGTGGGGGGTCTTGGGCACAATCGGGGGTTAAGGGTCTGGCTCAGAGACCCAGAGTGTAGGCTGTGGGGATTGAACCGGGTACTTCCAAACTTTTCAGAGCACAGCTGCACTGCTCTAACCACTAGGCCACCACTCCCCACCTTTAACAAAACTAGACAAAAATTAGACATGTTTGTGCAAAAAGATTAGAAAGTTTTTTTGTTTTTTTTTTGTTTTTTTTTTTTGGAGGTGGTTCAGCGGCTAAGTGCACAACCCCTGTACAAATGCTTTGGTCCTTGTTGCAGGTGTCCTGCATGTCTTCCCCTGTCTCTAATCTCACTTCCTGACTGCTACTTTCAAAAATAAAGGCCACTAGAGCTTAAAATAAAAATAAAATTTGGGGGGGTTTTTTTGCTAAAAAAAAACTAACAAACAAATGACATAATAGTAAAGTAGAATGAGGTCAGCCCCGCTGACACAATCACAAGACCACAGAAGACCTCCCACAGCTTTTTGCTCATAGTAAAGGAAAGACTGAATAAGAACAGACGAAAGAGGGACGTCATAGTGCCTGATATTTAAAGATTCAAATTAAGAGGCACTAAAATTCACGCTCATTTTCCTTTCAGTGTGTACAACAGGTAGGCATGTTGAAGGTGATCTACAAAGGTTGCTACCCAAATGTTAAAAACTTGCAAAGTAATCTGGGTTTGTCTCAAAATTAGCAGATTATGTGTCAAACAGGCTGTTTGAGAGTGGCTGTAGAAGATGAGGTACACAGCCATGGAAATGAACAATGTGCTACAAACAAAAGCAGAAGAAAATAAAACATATCGTTATGCTCTCTTTTAAGGGTGTGCAAAATAATCGTCATGTGCTGGCAGCCAGCCAGCCAATGAGAAACCATGACTCACTACGGGTTTAGACTGGGGACACGGCAGTTGCACCAGCCCTGACCTCTACTAGCACT